CCTTGAACACTGCCAGGGATGGGGCAGCCACAGCTTCTCTGGGCACCCTGTGCCAGCGCCTCAGCACCCTCACAGGGAAGAGCTTCTGCCTCAGAGCTCATCTCAGTCTCCCCTCGGGCAGGTTCAAGCCATTCCCCTTGGCCTGTCCCTACAGGCCCTTGTCCCAAGCCCCTCTCCAGGTTTCCTGCAGCCCCTTCAGGCACTGGAGCTGCTCTCAGGTCTCCCCTTCAGGAGCCTTCTCTTGTCCAGGCTGCCCCAGCCCAGCTCTCTCAGCCTGGCTCCAGAGCAGAGCTGCTCCAGCCCTCACAGCATCTCCATGGCCTCCTCTGGCCTCGCTCCAACAGCTCCAGGTCCCTCTTGTGCTGCTGCCCCAGAGCTGGATCAGGGTTGCAGGGGGGTGTTCCCAGAGTGGAGTAAAGGGGGAGGATCCCCTGTGAGCATTTTCTGTTGCATCCTCAGGTGTAAAGCACGTGTCCGGGGCTGTGGGTCGCTGGGATCTCTGTTCCCAGCATCTTCACCCAGGATGCTCTTGCTGAGCAGGGATAATGGGGTGTTAGGAGGATGGGGGACCAAGGGTCAGGGCTTGAACTGTAGCAGGAGCATTTAGTTCTGGGGCCCCATCCGATCCCAGGCCTAAAGCCTGACTTGGGACTGACTGGATTTGGGGCCAGCAAGAGCAAATCCACTTCCTTCCCATACAGCTTGTCCCCAGCGCTGGGGGAGGTGGGTCTGTGTGCATAGGAACAAGAGGCGTGGGGGACCAGAGAATAACAATTGTCTTAATGGAAAGAGATGGGGAGAAAGAGAAGAAAAAAGGGCTGTTGAGCTCTTTCTCTCCATCCCCGACATAATAGACCTATTACTGTCCCCAAACCTCGGTCCCTCTCCCCTCCCTAGAGAAGAATTGGTCACTGCACAGCTGTGAGAGCTGGGAAAATATATTTATATATCTAAGAGAATCTGCCCTTCTGAATTGGGTTGTGGGGCCAAACAAAACCTCATTGTGTGCTTTATCTGCCCCGGAGAGAATGGCCCCACAGTGCTGGCCTGGCAGGGGCTCTGCGTTTGGTGAACTGTGGTCACATCACTGTAACTTCATTTAGATACTGCACTGTTATGTAGCTGATTTCGGGGGGCATCGGGAGCGATTGTGGCCACATCTGGGCAAGAAAACACAAGAGGCCCTTCCCCCCCGGGGCTGGGGTGTGGGGCTAAGAGGGGGTTTGGGGGGGGTTGTGGTTGGGTTTGAGGGCTGGGGGGTTTAGAGTGGGAAAAGGCATTTTTGGGGGGACAAGGACCTGGTTTCGGCTTTGAGAACTGGGTGGGAAAAGGCATTTTTGGGGGGACAAGGACCTGGTTTCGGCTTTGAGAACTGGGTGGGAAAAGGCATTTTTGGGGGGACAAGGACCCGGTTTCAGGCTTGAGAACTGGGTGGGAGAAGGCATTTTGGGGGGGACAAGGACCCGGTTTCGGGCTTGAGAACTGGGTGGGAAAAGGCATTTTTGGGGGGACAAGGACCCGGTTTCGGGTGTGAGAACTGGGTGGGAGAAGGCATTTTTGGGGGGACAAAGACCCGGTTTCGGGTGTGAGAACTGGGTGGGAAAAGGCATTTTTGGGGGGACAAGGACCTGGTTTCGGGCTTGAGAACTGGGTGGGAGAAGGCATTTTTGGGGGGACAAGGGCCCGGTTTCAGCTTTGAGAACTGGGTGGGAAAAGGCATTTTTGGGGGGCAAGGACCTGGTTTCGGCTTTGAGAACTGGGTGGGAAAAGGCATTTTTGGGGGGACAAGGACCCGGTTTCAGGCTTGAGAACTGGGTGGGAAAAGGCATTTTTGGGGGGACAAGGACCTGGTTTCGGGCTTGAGAACTGGATGGGAGAAGGCATTTTTGGGGGGACAAGGACCTGGTTTCAGGCTTGAGAACTGGGTGGGAGAAGGCATTTTTGGGGGGACAAGGACCTGGTTTCGGGCTTGAGAACTGGGTGGGAGAAGGCATTTTTGGGGGGACAAGGACCTGGTTTCGGGCTTGAGAACTGGGTGGGAGAAGGCATTTTTGGGGGGACAAGGACCTGGTTTCGGCTTTGAGAACTGGGTGGGAAAAGGCATTTTTGGGGGGACAAGGACCCGGTTTCGGCTTTGAGAACTGAGGCTTTTATAGTTGGAAAAAGCATTTTCTGGGGGGAAGAGGACCCGGGTTTGGGTTTGAGAATTGAGGCTTTTTTAGTAGGAAAAGGCACTTTATGGGGGGACAAGGACCCAGTTTCAGGCTTGAGAACTGGGGCTTTTATAGTGGGGAAAGGCACTTTTTGGGGGGGTCAAGGACCTGGCTTCAGGTTTGAGAACTGGGTGGGAAAAGGCACTTTTGGGGAGGACAAGGACCCAGTTTCGGCTTTGAGAACCGAGACTTTTATAGTGGGTAAAGGCACTTTTGGGGGGACAAGGACCCAGTTTCGGCTTTGAGAACCGAGACTTTTATAGTGGGTAAAGACACTTTTGGGGGGACAAGGACCCAGTTTCGGCTGTGAGAACTGGGGCTTTTATAGTGGGAAAAGGCATATTTTGGGGGGGACAAGGACCTGTTTTCTGGTTTGAGAACTGGGTGGGAAAAGGCATTTTTGGGGGGACAAGGACCCAGTTTTGGCTTTGGGAATTGGAGCTTCTATAGTGGGAGAAGACTTGGGGGACGGGACGGGACAAGGACCTGGTTTTGGCTTTGGGAACTGAGGCTTTTATAGTAGGAAAAGGCACTTCTGGGGGGACAAGGACCTGGTTTCTGGTGTGAGAACTGGGTGGGAAAAGGCACTTTTTAGGGGGGTCAAGTACCCGGTTTTGGCTTTAAGAATTGGAGCTTTTATAGTGGGAAAAGGGATTTCTGGGGGCACAAGGACCCAGTTTCGGGCTTGAGAACTGAGGCTTTTATAGCTGGAAAAGGCAATTTTGAGGGGGGGAAGAGGACCCGGGTTTGGGTTTGAGAATTGAGGCTTTTATTGGGGAAAAGAACTTTATGGGGGGGACTAGGACCCAGTTTCGTCTTTGAGAACTGGGGCTTTTACAGTGGGAAAAGGCACTTTTTTGGGGGGACAAAGACCCGGTTTCGGGTGTGAGAACTGGGGCTTTTATAGTGGGAAAAGGCACATTTGGGGGGGGGGGGGGGGACGGGACGGACGGACACAAGGACCTGGTTCCAGGCTTGAGAACTGGGTGGGAAAAGGCACTTTATGGGGGGGACAAGGACCGGGTTTCGGGATTGATGACTGGGGCTTTTATAGTGGGAAAAGGCTCTGTAAGGGGACACAAGGAGCCGGTTTTGGGCTTGAGAACTGGGGCTTTTATAGTGGGGAAAGGCAAATTTTGGGGGGGACAAAGACCCGGTTTCGGGCTTGAGAGCTGGGTGGGAAAAGGCACTTTATGGGGGGGTCAAGGACCCGGTTTCGGGCTTGAGAACTGGGTGGGAAAAGGCACTTTTTGGGGGGGACAAGGACCGGGTTTCGGGCTTGAGAACTGGGGCTTTTATAGTGGGGAAAGGCACTTTTTTGAGGGGGACAAAGACCCGGTTTCGGGTGTGAGAACTGGGTGGGAAAAGGCACTTTTTTGGGGGGTCAAGGACCGGGTTTCGGGCTTGAGAACTGGGGCTTTTATAGCGGGAAAAGGCACTTTTTTGGGGGGGGCAAGGACCTGCTTTCGGGCTTGAGAACTGGGGCTTTTATAGTGGGGAAAGGCACATTTTGGGGGGGACAAGGACCTGGTTTCGGGCTTGAGAACTGGGTGGGAAAAGGCACTTTTTTGGGGGGTCAAGGACCCAGTTTCGGGCTTGAGAACTGGGGCTTTTATAGTGGGAAAAGGCACTTTTTGGGGGGGTCAAGGACCCAGTTTCGGGCTTGAGAACTGGGGCTTTTATAGTGGGAAAAGGCACTTTTGGGGGGACAAACACCCGGTTTCGGGTGTGAGAACTGGGTGGGAAAAGGCACTTTTTTGGGGGGACAAAGACCCGGTTTCGGGCTTGAGAACTGGGGCTTTTATAGCGGGAAAAGGCACTTTTTTGGGGGGGGGCAAGGACCTGCTTTCGGGCTTGAGAACTGGGGCTTTTATAGTGGGGAAAGGCACATTTTGGGGGGGACAAGGACCTGGTTTCGGGCTTGAGAACTGGGTGGGAAAAGGCACTTTTTGGGGGGACAAAGACCCGTTTTCGGGCTTGAGAACTGGGGCTTTTATAGTGGGAAAAGGCACTTTTTGGGGGGGTCAAGGACCCAGTTTCGGGCTTGAGAACTGGGGCTTTTATAGTGGGAAAAGGCACTTTTGGGGGGGACAAAGACCCGGTTTCGGGTGTGAGAACTGGGTGGGAAAAGGCACTTTTTTGGGGGGACAAGGACCGGGTTTCGGGCTTGAGAACTGGGGCTTTTATAGCGGGAAAAGGCACTTTTTTGGGGGGGGGCAAGGACCTGCTTTCGGGCTTGAGAACTGGGGCTTTTATAGTGGGGAAAGGCACATTTGGGGGGACAAGGACCTGGTTTCGGGCTTGAGAACTGGGTGGGAAAAGGCACTTTTTGGGGGGGTCAAGGACCCAGTTTCGGGCTTGAGAACTGGGGCTTTTATAGTGGGAAAAGGCACTTTTTGGGGGGGTCAAGGACCCAGTTTCGGGCTTGAGAACTGGGGCTTTTATAGTGGGAAAAGGCACTTTTGGGGGGGACAAAGACCCGGTTTCGGGTGTGAGAACTGGGTGGGAAAAGGCACTTTTTTGGGGGGACAAGGACCCAGTTTCGGGCTTGAGAACTGGGTGGGAAAAGGCACTTTTTGGGGGGGACAAAGACCCGGTTTCGGGCTTGAGAACTGGGGCTTTTACAGTGGGAAAAGGCTCTGCAAGGGGACACAAGGAGCCGGTTTCGGGGGCAGCCCCGGTTCCGGACGGGCTCTCCCTGCCGGCGGGAGGAGGAAGAGAAGGCGGAGGAAGCGGAGGAGGAGCGGAGGGGAGGAGCGGGCGCGGCAGCCCCAGGCTCGGGGGCAGCGGCGGAGGCCGATGGGTTGCGGGCGGCCGCGCTCGGCGCCGGCAGCGGCACCGGGAGCCGGACCCCGCGGCGGGGGCTGAGGACGGCGGCGGAGCGCAGGGAGCCCCGGGGGATGCCCCGCTGCGGGCGCGGACACTGAGGCTGCCGGCGCGGTGCATGGCAGAGCCATGGAGGTGGTGGACGAGACGGAGGCTCTGCAGCGCTTCTTTGAAGGTAAGGGCTGAGCCTCGGTGCCCCGCTGCGCTCCGGCTGCGTTGCGGTGTGCGCTGGGTGCCCGCCGCCGCCGCCACCCCGTTGAGGACATCGGAGTGGCCCTCCCCGGTCCCCATAGGAGCTGGGGTGTGGGGTCAGGCTCCTGCTGCCCTCTCCCCTTGGCACAGCCTCATGTCCTCGTGGGCTGGGTTGCAGGGTGCTGGAAGCAGGATCCCCACTGTGCGTTCGTCGGGGAACTCGCTCCGATGGAGAAGATGGGGCCTCCAGCAGCGAACCCCGCACCGTCAGTGCCCAACCACAGCCCAAGCCCCTTTGGGCATCTCTGCAGAGCAGACTCTTTCCCGTCAGTGCAAACCGACAGCAGCTCGTACCTAAACCAAGGGTGGAAAAGGGCTTGTAAAGAGAGTTTGCTCTCGCTCAAGCAGCAGCAAAACGCCGTTGCCCCAGGCACCTGAGGGGTCGGTGGGGACTGCACCGTGTGGCTTTGGGACCTCCATTCCCTTTGTTGTGCTTCCCTTGGTCCGTGTTTTCTTCTCCCCGCTCTGGCTTTGTTGGCTCCGCTCTTCCTTGTTGACTGTGTTGTTGCGTCTCCCTTGTGCTGTTGTCTTTGTTTCTCCTCTCTGGCGCTGGGCTCGCTCCGTGTGCCCCTTGTTCCCCGGTGGGACGTTTGCCAGGCAGAGGTTTTGGTTGCTGTGCCTTGTGCACCTTGATGGGAGCCCCTGGTACCCAACCAGTTGAGTGGGGGACATCGCGCCCATCCTAGTGCGGCTCTGTTGTGTCAATAGGGCCTTACTGCTGATGGGACAGTTTGGGGTCTGCTAGGGGGGATCCTGGTCCGTGGAGAGCAGGTTGTGTGCACTGGGCAGCTCTGGAGATGGATCCCATCTGGAGTCCTCGTGCTGTGCTTTGTGTCCCTTCTGTTTCTTTGGCTGGTGGAAGGGCTTGCCCTGGGGAGGAAGGTGAAGATGCGCCACAAGCAGGAGATGCTCTCAGAGCAAACAGAGGCTCATGCTGCTCCCTGCTCACTTTCCTCACTTCTGGCATCCGTGTGATGCATCAGTAATGCACCTCCTCTGCTTCAAGGGGAAAAGCATTCCCTGTGTGTCCCAGCCATGGTTTGGGATTCCCAGGAGCACCAGGGATGGGAAGCCTGGTTTGTCCCAGCCATGGTTTGGGATTCCCAGGAGCACCAGGGATGGGAAACCTCACCACAAGGGCTCTTCTCATGCTCCCAGCCTGTCTTCAGCCTTCAGAGCCTTTGTTTTGCATTTAGGGTTCCACTTGGACCCATCTCCTAACTCCTGTCCACTGGGCCCTGAGCACCCACCCAGCGCCTGCAGAGCCCTTGCTCAGCACCAGTTCCTCACTGCCTGTCCCTTCCTTTCCTTTGTAGAAGTGGAATTCCTCTCTCCCTCCCCAGAGCATCGTTTGGCAGGTGGAAGGGTTCTTTCTTCTCCTGTCTTGTTCTTGCTTGCTTGGTGCTGTGGGTGACCCTGCTGGAGATGTGGAGCTGAGCTCAAGAGGTCCCTGCCAGCCTCAACCATCCTGGATTCTTCCTCTCTTTACCCTTCTTTCCCTTTCCTTCTTTCTCACTTTATCTTTTTGCCTTTTTCTCCTTCTTTCTTTCCACCTTTTTCTCTCTTTTGAACTAAAACCACCTCACCCCTGCAAGTGAGGGAACCTGAAGGATGTTTCTGCTTGCTCCCTTGTATAACTCCCTGTTTAGAACGACCTAAAGCTCAGTTTCCTCACGGAGCCCGTGGTGGCTGATGGCTGTGTTCAGGCAGCAGATCCCTTTGGTGACGTTCTTAAGGAGCATCTATTCCAACACAGCGTTTGAGGGTGACGGGGGAAGAGGAGAAAGCTTTGCAGGGAGGATTCCCGCTCGGTTCAGTTGGTGCAGCACAAGAAGGAGCAAGGTTCTTCCCTTTTGTGCACGCTATGGTCGTGGCCAGACTGAGCCGCTGTGGTTTGGAAGGGAAGGTCAGTGCCTGAAAGCGCAGCACGGAGCGGGATTTGCCCTGGAATCCTGCTGTCCTGCAGGATTAATGGTTTCTGGATGTGTCATCTCATGGGGAACAAGCTCTGACAGAGTTTATCCATTTACAGGCATCAATCCACGAGTAGAACCAATCCCTCGCTGCCCATCGCTTCTTTAGGTGTCCGATTCCCTTCTACAGGGAGCATCTTCAAACCACCTTTTCTCCTATAGTGAAGCGGTTTTCCTCCTCGCAGATCACGTCCTCTCCAAGCAGAGGTGTTACACTAAAGGGATCTCTTCCTGCAGATTCAATTAATTTGGGAATTTCCTTTCCTTTGCTTGCCTTTGCCCGGGATCCGAGCCTGCGGGATGCGATCCCACCGTGGATCAGAGCAGTCCCTTAGTGCTCGGGTAGCACTCGGTATTTCAGTGTCAGACAAGGATTAACTGGGCTCTCCTGGCAGGCTCTTTGGGAGCGGGGGCTGTGCTGGATGAGCTGTGGAAGAGGGCTGGGGGCTGTGCTCCTTCCAAAGCCTGGCATTTGCCTGGCTCCAGCAGCAGGTCCCGTCTGTAGAGCAAGCCTTGTCCAGGGCAGTGGATGTTCCCATCATCTCAGGTCCAATTTCCCTGTCTCCAATGTCATAATGAGAGCTCTCAGTCCTTGCTGCCCTGGAACCTGTCCGTCTGCTCCTAGAGAGTGGGATCTGGGATGTGCAAGGATGGAGAAGCAAAATGATGTGAAAAGGCCAAGGCTTTGATGTGATCTTATTGCTCTCTGCAACCGCCTGACGGGAGGATGGAGCCAGGATGGGGCTGGGCTCTGCTCCCAAGGAACAAGGGATGGGACAAGAGGAAACGGCCTCAAGCTGCCCCAGGGCAGGTTTAGATGGAGCTGAGGAACAATTCCTGCCCCAGAGGGTGCTCAGGCATTGGAACAGGCTGCCCAGGGCACCGGCCCTGCAAGTGCTCACAAACCCTATAGACAAGGCCCTCAGTGCCATGGGTTAGTGGTGGCCTTGGCAGGGCTGGGGAACGGTTGGACTTGATGGTCTTAAAGGTCTTTTCCAACCTGGTTGCTTTGGGAAGGGGCTGGGAAAGCGATGGGTTGAGCATCACTTCACACCCTCCTGGAATGAAGATGCTGTGAGTGTGGGTCTGATCAGCAGCACCCTTAAGGTGGGTTTGCCTGCATTGGGAAGCCCATCTCTCTCCTGGTTTCCATTAGGATCACTGTTAAATGTATATGATGATGCCCAGGACCATCCTGCCAAGGGGAGCTCGGAGGCGGAGAGCGTGGGATGCTGATGGTCCTGGCAGCGGGGCGAAAGGAGTCTGGTCTCTTCCATGGCACTGGGAGTGTTTACGCAGAGCATTCGTAGTCTGTATCAAAGGCAAAGAAGGGAGTTGAAAGCGTCTGACCCTTGGCTGGCACCCTGCTAGAAACCTCACCTTCCTCCCTGCCTGCCCCTCGCGTCAGGGAAACAGTTACGCCAGAGCTCAGCTATTCGGGATCCCGCTCGCTCCCATGGCTAATTTATGAGATAAGAGGCTGGTAAAGAATGTCTATGGGGCAGGATGTGCAGAGCAGGGCTGGGGAGCGGGGAGGGGGGGGTTGGCAGATGGCTGAGAGATGGAGAAGGAATGGAGAATGTGAAGAGTCTGGGGGTGAATTGTAGGTGGGGAAGGGTGGTGGGGTGAATAGGAAGGGCTGGTTTCCAGTGGGGGAATGGAGCAGCTCTTTGCAGGGTTTCACTGAGCACAAGTGGCTGGAGCATTCAGAGGCACGTTTATGGGGTGCCCCATGGGTCTGTGTGTGATGCCAGAGGGGTCGCAGGAGCTGGGAGGGAGCATCAGGCCGTTTACCAGCAGCAAGGCAGCCAGGGTGTGTTAGAGACTGGGTTTGTGCATAGCAGTGCGTGTGTTCATGCCAGGAGTGACTTTCTTGGTGGGTTTTATTGAGTATTGTGGAGTACTTTATGTATGAGGAGGAAATGCTGCCTTGCAGCCCTGCAGGGAGAGGGCTGGGCCGTTGCCCCGCGTTCCTTGCATGAAGAGGGGTAAAAGGATGGGGCTGAAGTAAAGAACTAAACCCAGGGCTGCCAGGTCTGCACCCTGTGCTGCGTTGTACGGGATGGGTTCCTGCGTGCTGTGTGTCTGCAGGGAGGTTTGGAGGTGGATGGGAATGAGCAGAGAAGGGTTTCACTGCTCTGGAGTGTGGAGGGGGGGAGCGGTGCTTTCTGGAAGGAGAATCCTAGAATCCCAGCCTGGTTTGGGTTGGAAGGGAGTTTAAAGCCCATCCGGCTCCAGCCCCAACCCCTTCCACTGGAGCAGCTTGCTCCAAGCCCCTGTGTCCAACCTGCCCTTGAGCACTGCCAGGGATGGGGCAGCCACAGCTTCTCTGGGCACCCTGTGCCAGCGCCTCAGCACCCTCCCAGGGAAGAGCTTCTGCCTCAGAGCTCAGCTCAGTCTCCCCTCGGGCAGGTTCAAGCCATTCCCCTTGGCCTGTCCCTACAGGCCCTTGTCCCAAGCCCCTCTCCAGGTTTCCTGCAGCCCCTTCAGGCACTGGAGCTGCTCTCAGGTCTCCCCTTCAGGAGTCTTCTCTTCTCCAGGCTGAACAAGGCCCCTGCCTGGTCAGTGCCTGGCTGCCCCTTAGCCCTTTGCATCCCCTAACTGCATCTTCAAGTGCTGATGCTGTGATGGAGAGAGGCTTTGCTGCACCGCCTGCGTGGAGCTCTTTGAGCAAGAGCAGAGGGAAAGCAGCAGGGAAACCCTGTGGAGAACCATGGGGTTGATGTGAGAAGCCCAACGTGATCCCTGCTGCGCATCACTGGGTGCTCCCTCCCCAGACCTCACTCTGGGCAGGTGGCTTTGCAGGGTGACAGCATCTCCACGGCCCGGCTGGTGCAGTGGGGAAGGTAAGAGGCTTTGTGTGCAGTGCTTTGCACGGGGCCAGCCCGTGACAGAATGGTCCTGGGGAAGCTGGTACAGCACAAACACATGACCATCCCTCCTGGTAATC